TTCACCATGTTTTGCGAATCTCCTCCCATCCCATCATCTTCCCAAGCTTTGAACTTCGGAAGTACCCGTTTTGGACGACCTGGTTAGCTGATACCCACTCCACCTGGCCTATGATCTACAACTCTGGGATCGCAGAGCGAACCACAAATAACCCTGCAATCCCATATCGCCCTCGTTCCACCTTGTCCCCCTGACCAGGCTGAAATGAATATCGCTGCCCAGCGAACTACACACCCCAGCTGAATGATCTCAAATGCGACGTTCATCACGGGGCTGTCCAAAAACTGAAACATGTCAGGCCAATGATGGCACGGGACTGCCATATTCAGTTTGATATCACACCCGCAACTGTTCCATTCCTCCTACAAAACGAGCCTAATTGCCTATGCGATTCATTGACCCCAACCACCACCACGACATTCATTCTAACCTGTTGGACTTCTCTTTCGAATCCAACCACCTTTGTGTCCTCATCCAACCTAACCCCAGCACTTAACTTTCCTACAACGGTACAAGCAGTGAGTCTGCTTGTTCTCAGATTGCACCATATTTTTGAGACTAAACTTGCCATGTTCTCTCAATTCGAATTATCGCATCTCCAACTCCACTTTATCCCGTTGTTACCCCGGCCATTTACCCAATCGCCCAGGGTCGCTGGTGGCCAGCAGTGGTTTTCCAGTTTTAGGTCATGTCAACCGACCGAGTCTTTGAATTAGTCGGACCTCATGCTCATTGTTCCTTACAAGTTGCGAAAGAAACCTGTTATCATTATCTTATCGACTACTCCTCACTGTTCATAACGTTGGCCCCATTTCGCGGAATCTCTACTGGCCGCAAATCCCCAAGTCACGCCCCATTCTGACTGTAAACGTATGAGCATGCCCGAAGGTATGCCACCCACAAGTTGGGAAATCAAATCCAGACCAAATTCGACACTGTTTCGATTTAAATTATTCGGTTTGACTATAGTGGGCTACGCTACTGTGGCTGCGTGATCTTACATTTCAGTTACTTTTAAGCGTCAAGAGAAGCATGTTGCCGAATGATAATGTTAAGAAATTCACAATGAGTATAAATTGTAACTTGCCCAGTAGAACCATGGCGTACAGTTTAATTGGATCGACTCACTGGCGGTGCCAATCGAGCGGAATCGATATAAAATTTTCTTGGAAGGGTGAGGAACGAGAAATGTAGAGAAAATCGTTGATTGTGTGGGGCTGATAAACCGAAATGCACCGAGATGGTCTAATCCGAGAGTGGGGTTGGGGGACTGGTCAGGCAGGTTTGTTCGCATTCGCAGCTAGGGTATCTAGAGGGTGGGATGAGCAATCCAGAGAATGCAGGTGCATCAGGATGGGCATAGCGGTGCCATGCCATCATCGCGCTGACAAGCTCAGATCTCTGGACAGCTCCGCAACGGACGCCATGATTGATGTGATCGGATAAAGGAGGTGTCAATTTGTTGCTAGCGTTATTTCAGGTTAGCCAAGGAGCCTCACACAGGTAGAACAATGCCGATGTAGGATCACGGGTAATTTGGCTCAGTTGGGGATCAAAGCGGATGCAAAGCAGAGTCCAGGTGGAGTGAATAACCTGCATAAGCGGCTTCCGGAACAGATTCTGCCGAAGATCAAAACTTGGAGGGCGGAGGAACTCGATGAGATCGATAAGGCCTTGTGCGTGTGACAGGATATCAGATGTTATAGAGTTCATTAGTAAAAGATAACCTAAAGTCCATCGCAGTTATGGAGGGGACAGTAGGTGACTAAACAAGCAACCCGGAAACGGAGGGTTTGTTCAGCTTGCCCAAATGATGCCAATAAATTAAATGGGATACATAACATGAAGGTGTGGTGTGCCGCGGCGAATTCATTCAACCGATGCATTAAACTGGATCCAGTTTACGCATTAACAACTTAACCGGAATATTTGATGTGAAAAGTGAATCGGATGCATGAACAAAGAAATAAGGAATACATCGGATTCGGATCAACAGAAGTCACAAGCCGGAATCAGGAGGGGTAAAACACGGGGGTTACTCTCTACAGGAGTACCGGGAGAGGAGGTCAGCCTAAAGAGCTAACTGATCAATAGGGAGTGTATATTTTTCTGCCTTTATTTTCCTTATATTACAACATTACGTATTTTGCCGATTTCATAAAGGTTTTTTTGTTTGAACACGAAAAAACAAAAACGGGCACTCGCACTATTTCACGGAAGACAAATGTGGACACTTACTCTGCAAGCTTACATTTCTGATTTCGCTCGTGCCTAGAGCCGTCATTCGTGAGATTCAGGGGCGAGCCCCGTTAGGGAGACATCTCAGTCTATCTTCGGAATCAGTTAAATATTAGAATTGTTTAGAAGTGTGCCTCTGGATAACCACGATTGGATTATTGTTCATTCGCCGACCTGAGCCGACGAGGAACTATTATAAAGAGAACAATTTCAGTGAGTCTTTTCCAGCCGACCCCTGTATCATTGCTTACTCAACATAGCGTTATCATTTTGGGTTCTTTGCCGCACACTCCTGACAAAGTAACTTATTGGGCAGTTAGGCCGCCACAAATTTGGTGGGCTTGAGTCTTCCTGGATAATTTTCAACTTTTCCTCTCAGGTAGTCGTGTTTTTGCCCGGCCAATATGTAGGCACGCTTTGCCTCGTCGGATTTAACCGGGAATGTAATTAGCATCCGTTTAGGAGGCTATAATCCACACAATCCCAGGGTGTGGTTCACTAGGTCGAGAATGTTTTTAATTCCCGGCGATCACTTCCGAGGCCACTCGCTTTCCGCGTGTCATCCAGCATCCTCCCAGTGATGTAACAACAGAAGTAAAAAAATCTATTGGAAGATATCCCCAAGGAAAATCCCAATGATGCTCTTCGAGCGTCCGTCATCATCCGGATGGGTTATTCTGGAAATAAGAGATTACGAGATTTATTCACCACAGTCCAACTTGTTGACAGATGCCGTCACAACTGCTTTGTCATATGCGCAGTCTTTTCTGCGGCCGTAAGCCGGCGGTGGAAATCATAGCGTAACTATGGCTCGTTAAACTCCCTTTCTCCGTGTCCTCCTTCATCAGTGCTTTCGTTGATGACCATAGCCTGGAGCAGCTAGCTCAAATGGAGAACGAAATCCATGAGACCTACTTCAGTCACCCTGTTAGTCCTGTCCCTCTCTATACACTCACTACATCCACAGATTCCGATCCAATGCTTCCTGATATCCCACAACTTAAAATTAGATTTGATACCATGACTGACTGCCTCCAGCGACTGGAGATCAACAAGCATCTAACCCACCCACGATCTTAATCGTTGTCTCCTTCCGTCCCTCTTGAGGCTGGTATCACCAACCTTACGCTCCTAAAGCACGCAGATACCACCCGCCCTGTTACTTCAAGCCACCTTCTATCTGCCTATTTAACACCCCGACCAGTCAGTAACGGCGACGACTGTCTTCGGCCCTCCTCGCATTAGTTGCCCGTTCCACATCACCGGCCGTTCAAGTGGTCTACGTTATCCCGTAGATACGGGAGCTGAAGTTAGCTTTCTGCCACATTCACGGATTTACGGATTGAAACATGGGATCGAGGCCTTTTCACGAGATTCCCGGGTAGACTTTGTTCTTCTCGTTCGAAGGTCGTTGTTCACCTGGAAGGCACAAGCAAAAAACAGTGTAGCACTGCTCTTCAGGTTCTCAGCGCAGGCAGTATGCTTGCCAATGTGAGGATTCGCATTAAAATAAATGTCTAATAGTGCTTTGAACTGGGCTCTAGAAGGAGCATTTGCAACTGTCGGAGAGACGTTAGTCCATGTAGCTACCACCCGGAAGGAAAAGAAATTTCGCCTTATGAATATGTGCGCTCTGGGCTTGAAAATCTTCTTACCATGTCCCTGCTTTGAGTTTGTTTGGTCATTGGTGAGAGAAATGTTGGCCTAACTCTGTTCATACAGGGTATAAGTAAGAATCAGGTCCCCCTTGGAGGCGACAACACTTCAGGGAAAGATGTGAAGCCCCGAGAAGCGCGTTTCGTAGTCCACGGATTTGAGACCGGCATCCATTTGCGTAGTGGCTAGCTGTGCACGCTCAATGAGTGTGACATGTTTCATGCGTCATCAGTGGACAGCTGGGTTGGCATAAGCAAGGAGCGGTCTGATATAGGACCCAAAGAGTACGTGGACGTCCACGCGAGTAACACGGGAGAAGGTGCGTCGGATCATCCGTAAAATGGCGGTTGCTTTTTCGGCCGATTTCTCATGATGCAAAAAGAAGGACGGGTTTGAAGAGACCCAGGTACCCTTATTCTTTTTGGCGTCTATTCTCATGATGTTTTCTGGTCCATTCTTGCCATGCATGACAACAGCATTCAATGAGTCTCCTCCAAACGACATATGGACGCATTCTTCGTCATTCAGAGGGGGACGTCTGCATAATAAACAATGCTTTGCAGCATCCACAATCGTTTGGAGGGCACTGGCGTTGGAATTCAAGGATTTCAATTTGTCCGCAAAAAGTATACAAGGACATTCGTAGGGTCAGCGACGCATATCACAAACAACTGAGGAACCAAGACGGAGCCTTGAGGAACTCTAATAGAGACCGGAGCTGTAGAAGAGCATGTAGAACCTGGCTCCATTCGAAATGATCTGTCTTATAGGAAAACCTTGATCCAGTGTAGCATTTTCCATCAAATCCCGTAAACTTGAGTTTGTGGAGCAGCGGAACGTGTGACCCCATCAACTTCTTTTGAGAAGTCGAAAAATATGGCTTCCGATATGAGTCCGCCGTCCTTTGATTGGGTTAAGCTGTCCATAAACACGAGCACGTTTGCCAAACAAGAACGGATTAGGGGAAACCCGTGTCGAACTGAAATATCGGGTTGTGGGGAGTAAGGTAATCAAGCATATCTCGCTTCATAATGCGTTCCATCACCTTGCACGGCACAGTGCACTTAAGGAAGCACTTTCTGATTCCGCTTGTTACTCGTCACAAGACGCTGACGGTTTCCACATCGCTAAATGCGGCAAACGTTCTCTCACTCTTGACCTCGGATTGCGAAATGCGTTCAGGTAGATTGTCCTTTTGGCCGACGTCCAAAGGGCACATTTCCTAACCCACTACAACCTATCTGTCAGTGTGCGACACAAACTTCTATTGGACAAGCTAACTTCCCTCTCGGTCAACGGA